ATAGGTACTTACATGTATGTTATCAGGTTCCAGTGAGAGTAACAGCTGATGAGAAAATGGTTCCAGCTGCACCACCAATAAGGTTGCCCTTTCCATGCTGGGTATCTGCACCCTCCACCTGTCTTTAAAGGAAGCTAGCTAGTTCCAGTGCCTATGGTTACAGAATGGCTCCTGCTAAACAAGGAAAGATTTGTTTACTTCCTGATGGATTTCAGCATCTCAGAGCCTCAGGGGGTTTCCCTGTTGTCAACCATGGCAAATTTATGTTGCTGTTCGTCTGATTGGAGATATCATAATCAGGGCTCAAGCTGTGGCAGAGTGGACTCCAGGCCAGGATGGACAGTGCTGGCAAACTAACAGGGCTGAAAAAAAGGCTAGGATCTAAATATGGGACCAAGACCAGGTGTCAGTCATTCTAGGTATGGGTATGTGGGCAACCAGGAGAGCATTCTTTAAGGGAAAGGATGTCAGTGAGTCAAGAAGCATTTATTAAGCACCTACTATGTACCAAGCCTGGTGCTGAGCACAAGTGAGAAAAAGAGAGGCAGAAGGCAGTCTCTGTTCTCAAGCAGCTCACATGGGGGAGACAATAAGCAAACAAATACATACAAACAAGCGATATACAGGATAAATAGAAAATAGTTAACAAAAAGAAGTCACTAAAATTAAGAAGAGTTGAGAAAGTCTTTTTCGTAGGAGGTGGAATTTTAGTTGGGACTTAAAGGAAGCCAAGGAGGTCAGTAGCCAGTAGGGGAGGAGGCAGATCATTCCAGGTATGAGGGCCAGCCAGAGAGAAAACCTGGAGCTGAGATGGAGGGCCTTGTTCATTTACCTACAAGGAGTCCAGTGTCACAAGAAATGTACCTGTTAGGGAGGAAGGTGTGAGAAGACTGGAAAGGGGGTAGTTGGGGTAGGTTATAAAGGACTTTGAATGCCAGAGAATTCTGTATTTGATTCTGGAGGTGATAGGAAATCATGGGAGTTGGAGTAGTAACAAGGCCAGACCTGAGCTTTAGGAAAATCACTTTGGTGGTGGAATGGAGATGGATTGGAGTGGGGAGAGACTCCAGACAGGAAGACCCACCAGAACCTTACTGAGGTACTTTCAGTTTGAGGTGATGAGGGCCTGCATTAGAGGAGTGGTAGTGCCAAAGGAGAGAAGGGGGCATATTCAAGGATGTTGCAAAGGTGAAATCTCCTGGCCTTGGGAGAATGGAGTCTAGATAGAATTAAGGGTTGGGAGTGGCTGGGCTGATCAGGAGGTAACAGATAATGAAGGATGGGCTGGGTCAGAGGCAACAGAATTGAAGATTGGGGCAGGGTCAAAGCAACGCAAAGGACAGTTAATTAACTGGGAAGGGCTCGTTCCCCTAGGCCAACACCAGGGATCTGGGCCACATGGTAAAGTCCAGGGTTTTCCTTTTTGGGGTTCAGATCCCAAAGATATGGTCTTTTCCTTTTAGGGGTTCAGATCCCATTCCCATCATTCTCATCATATTGAAAAGCGGGTCAGATTTTAAGAATCTGAACAATTTAATGGGGGTCAAGATGGAACTAATATACAGAAAGACTGTGGGAAGATCTGGATGTGATCGAGGAGTGGCCAATAGCTTGGGGTGACCGGAAAGTAACAGAGTAAGGGTCTAGATGGAATTAAGGAGTGACAAAATAGCCTGGGATGATCTAGAAGTAACAGACCTCCATTTTACAAGGGCTGGGCTGGGTCAGAAATAACAGGGAATTGAAGGTCAGAGCCACAGTGAAAGGGCAAACATCAGAGACTTGGTTCAGGGGCTTTGGGGTCCTTTTAGGGGTCTGGTGTGAATCCCACCCTCCATCATATGGACACTGTGGACTGGGTTGGAGTAGAAGCATGCTGTGCAGAACACTCCAGTGCCTAGGAAGAGGCTTTGTATCAGCGCAAGAGGAGGTCCCAGAACATACTGGGAATCCATCAGACCCACATTGGGAAGGGAACCTAGAAAGTGTGATTGGTTAATACAATTCAAAAGAAAGAGTTAACACTCTTCTCCTTGGCATGCCCAGGCCCATTACTCATGCATCCACTCAGTGCCTCTGAGATCAGTGATGAATCATTATGGTCACTTGCATTTTAGAAGGGGGAAAGCTCTGAGCCCTGTTAACTCTGAGCAGATCAATTTCAATGGCATGTATTTCTCAGGCAAGAACAGTCCTGTTGGACAGAAATATTTGGGTGAGAGTCCAGTTTGCAAGTTTGGCATAAGAACACAAATGACTGCTGATGTCCACTATTTGGGAATGGATTAAGTATTACTGTAATCTCATGGTATAGTAGGGTGGACACTGGTTTTGGGGTCTTGGTTCTGCTACTTATTAACCATGTGACCTTTAACCAATCATTTTCCCTCTCTGTTCCTCAGTTTTCTCATCTGCTAAATGAGGGTGTTGGACTGAATGATCTCTAAGGTCTCTTCCAGGTTTTGAGCTGTGATTCTATGATGCCTTCATAGCGTGTCTCTAGACTCAAACTCTCCTATGTTGACTTGCACACTGGCGGATTGGGTTCCTAGAGTTAGGCTGGCTACATGTTCTCTGTCCTCATTCTGATGTATTCCCTTCACTGTTAGCTGCAGGAAATTAGCACGCCACCTCCATTTAACTGATGAACATAAATTAGTTTTTACCAAGGGACAATTACTTTAAAGATATAGCAAGAACATAGGTAGAGCCATTTCACCCCAACACTTGGGTTCACATTGTCCTCCATGGCACCTGGGAGAGTGGGCTCAAACGTAAAGCGGTGTCTACAAAGCATTTACCCTATCATGTTCTCTTCCAAATATGAAACGCAGCATAGCCACTGGATCTTGCATCTTGGCTGCTACTGGACTGGGCCAAGCGGGATGTTTAATACTTCACTCTGTTGCCTTTTGACTTCTGAGAAATCCTAACATGGACACTGGTTGCCAGATGTCTGGTGGCTTAACATTCTGGCCTTTCAAAGCTCACAAAATCATAGCTGTTTCCAAAAGTTCTTCATCTAAATTTGGAAAGAACTGATGTAATGGAGAAAGAAGTAGCAGCAGAACTATGCTATGCTCTCGTGGGCAACATGGCAGCAACCCTGGTTGGGAATGATAAAAGCCTGAGGCTTCTTTTCCAGTACCAGGAGCATCAAGAGCTTTCAATATTTCTTGCTTCTTTCACTGGGACATACCCAGGCAGGAATGAGGACTGCCCTCGGTTTTAGCCAGGGAAGGCCCTTTAAATGCACCCAAATTCTGGCTATGCAGCCAATCAACAGTTTTAACTCTTTATCACATTGTTAACAGATGGGAACCAGTTACAGAATGTCTGTGGAGCAGGGCTATTCTGTTACATATTATCATGTGTTTCTGGAAGCCAGCTCCCCTACTTCTTCCAGGTGGAAACTATATCAGTCACACGTGTTACATGTGCTCTGAGCCTACTGTTACCATTCTGTATATAGGACTGAAATGGGGATCAACTCTGACTTTGTTCTCTGAGTGGCAAATATGTAACTATGGGAGATGATCTATTCTTACCCAGGGGTGTACTGAAACTAGCTTGAACCTGATCAGGATAGCTGCTTGTTAAAATTTTTTTGGAAGCACTTATACCTCAGAAATAGTCAAACAAGGGGCAGCTAGATGGCACAGTGGATAAAGCACCTGAATCAGGAGGACTTGGGTTCAAATCCGACCTGAGACCAAGCACTTGATGCTTACTAGCTGTGTGACCCTGGGCAAGTCACTTAACCCCAATTGCCTGAAAACAAAAAAGGAAAAAGAAATAGTCGAACAAAATCAGGGTTTGATATTGCCTTGTTGATTGTCTGGACTTCAGACAGTGATGGAGAAAATGTTAATAATACAGATTAAACTTAAAAATGTGTTGTGCATACATCCTTCCCCCATCCCAGATGTGATTATTGGATATTTACCAATAGTATTTGCCAAATATTTTACCTGAACCTACCCCTAAATTTTACAAATGAGACTGAGATCCTAGAGAGGTTAAACGACATGTCCAAAGTCAACCAGGTGGTAAGATCGTGAGTGTTAACTGAAAGGGATGTAAAGTAACTTGTGAATAAAGGCCCCAAATAAGTAGTCACATGTAAGGTGTTCTTTAAATTAAAACAAAAACAAAAACAAACACTGAGCTGGAAGCCATGAGAAGCAGGGAGAGGAGCAAAAACATCATCTAAGCGCTCAGTCAGCTTATATTCTAACGGGAAAGACCACATGCAGATAGCTATGTACATGCAAGATCAGTTAAATATAAATGGGAGTTGTAAGTATCCATGGAGGAGGGACCAGACTTGCGGCTCCATTGGTGAAGAGTTCTGGCTGAGAGACTTCTTTTATCAATGCAGATTGGCACTTTCTTTCCAACTTACAGAGTTGCCTGGGTCACTGAGAAACAACATGATTTGCCCAGGGTCACTTAGCCAGTTGTGTCTGAGGTGGGATTTGAACCCAAATCTTCCTGACTCCAAGTCCAGTTCTCCAACTGTTCCATGATGTCTCTCTAAGGTCTACAACTGAATGTAATTCCTTTGCACCCTAATTCCCACTGGTACAACGTGATGGTGTTGTCTATTGAACAGATAAATAAATATATGAAATGACCAGCAGAGGGGGCCCTTTGCCCATTTTTATAACCAAGAAGGATGAAACCTATATTTCATTTATTCATTAATCTATTCGTTCATTTGTTTATTAATTCATTCACTAGTTCATTCATTGATTTATTTACTTTAGATGTGGGGTTTTTTTTGTTCTGTTCTGTTTTGTTTCCATAGCTAATAGTGTTTATTGAATGGTTCGTTACCAATATATATATTTCTTGATCTTTTCAGTTGTACCTGATTCTTCATGACCCCATTTTGGGGTTCTGTTGAGATACTGGAGCGGTTTGCCATTTCCTTCTCCAGCTCATTTTTACAGATAAGAAACTGAAGCAAATAGGTTTAAGTGACTTGCCCAGGGTCACACAGCTAAGCGTTTGAGGCTGGATTTGAACTCATGAAGGTGAGTCTTCCTGGTTTTACACCCAGTGCTTTATCCACTGTACCACTTAGCTGGCCTACACACATACACACACACACACACACACACACACACACATCTGTATATATATTTCTGTATAAAAATTTTATGTACATAAAAATGCCCTTTCCTATGGACAGATGGAACCAAAACTAATATTGACTGTTTCAAACCATGTAGACCATGCACTTGGTGGTTGTATCCAGCTGAGGGCCCAGCTCCTTTCAGAATGAAAGTTCCACATTAAATGTAAACTTGACGTTAGAAATGGTTTGACCTTGGCCTCCAAGCTCTCTCATTGGTGCGCCTGAACTCAACCCCTACTCCCCGGCCCCTGCCTTTTGTCAGTTTTCCTCTGCCAAGATGAAGCCTGACTCTCCTCTGAAAGGAGCTAGCCAGCTTTTAGCAGCCCCCTCAATTAAAAAACAATTTCTCATCTCAAGATATTATAGAGCTCTCTTTCTAAAACCATAGCCTCACCACCACACACAGTTCAGTGAATTCAAAGTTGGTGCTTCTCACAGCTGCTGGCCAGTGTACATGTTTATCTGCCACAGCCTGGTTCACAGTTCAGCCACTGAAGACACAGCTCTGAGTTTCAGTCTCACTTGGCCTAGTCAGATTACTATAATCTGTTTCATTTTAATCCCTTTCAAACTGACACATTTCATTAAGATATTATGTCCTGTATTTTACCAAGTTCTACTACTTGTCATTTGGTTCCAAGGATTATAGTGCCCTAGAGAATGAAGTCAATATATGCTTGGGCAGCCTGGCCTTGTGCTTAGATGAAGTCAGTGACTGCCAGTGTGATGTATATTTCAGGGAAGTCAGGAGGGCTCTGTGCCTTGCCCAATTACCTCCCTTCCATTGGCTGATACCATTAGAATTTTATCCTTTTACCTTAAGGTCTTAACTCTTGTGAAAATGCCACACTCCTGGAGATGAGAATTTGAGATTCAGTCCTTCATATCTTGGTGTGATGAGGGATTTGAGAGCAGGTTTTGACAGGCAAAGTTGTAACTACAGAATTTTGCACTGTGGCAAGTATCACAAACTATGCCTGAGGCAAGTAGTTTGAAGTCAGGAAGAAAGAGCAGGGTAAGACAAGGAAACTTGGGAGTTTTTCTGTGTGTGTTTTCTGTGGTCATACATGTTGGTGACAGGTCCAGAACCTTTTTGACCAAAAGGATTTTTATAGTGTCTATGATGTAATGTATTTCAATCAGTCAGTCAATAAGCATTTATTAAGCACCTACTATGTTCCAGGCACTATGCTGAGCCCTGGGATACCAGAGGCAAAAGACAATCCCTGCTCCCAAGGAGCTCACAATCTAACGGGAGAGACAAGGACCAAGCCAATATGTACATACAAACTATATACAGGCTAATGAAGAAGTAATTAACTGAGGGGCAGCTTTAGAATAAAGAGGGAATGGGAAAAGCTTACTGTAGAAGATGAGATTTTAATTGGGACTTGAAGGAAGCCAGGAGGCAGAGATGAGGAGAAAGAGCATTTCAGGCATGGGGAACAGTCAGAGAAAATGCCTGGAACAGAGAGATGGAGTGGGTTACTCATGGAACAGCAAAGAGGCCAGTGCCACTGGATTGGAGAGTTCATGGTGGGTGGTAAGGTGTTAAGAAGACTAGGGGAGAGAGGTTATGAAGGGCTTTGGATGCCAAACAGAATTTTTCATTTGATCTTGGAGGTAAGAGGGAGCCATTAGAAAATATGGAGTAGAAGGGTGACATGGTCTGTTGTGAGCTCTTAAAATTTTTTGATATTTATCTTAATTTTTCCTATGTCAACATGATATAAATGAAGCAAGATAGGAAAAAAAATTATTTCCTCATATGTATGAGGGTTAGACTTAAATGCTTGCTACAGTCCCTAACCAGGCATAAAATTCTATTCATTGTTCTTGCTAACTAAATGTTAAAGTATGTTGTTTTTGACTATTGATGGACTGAAAATACTGTCAGTACCACATGAATTTGGCACCTTGGAACAAAGCCCTAGATGCCCTGTGAAGTTGACAGGATAGAAATAGAGAACACAGTATTACTGAGAAGTTTTTCTTTGTTCCTAACTCTCTTGTTATTCTTATGTCAGGTTATTAGAGTCAAGAGTTTTCATTCCAACCCATTATAACCAGGCGGTCTGCCTGAGAGAGGACAAGAATCTGAATGGGGAACGGGGATTTGGGGGAGAAGTCATATTAGAAGGGGACTGAGACACATTGTTATGGGAGTATTGATGATACTTAGCAACTGACTGAATACAGATGTTAAAAGGAGAAAGAAAAATCAGGAATGTTCCAGGGTTGCAAATCTGGAGGACTGAAAGGATAGTGGAACCTTCAAAAATAGGTTACAAAGTGGGGGTGAAGTGGTTTGAGGGAAAGATAAATAAATAAATTTTGGTTTTGGGCAGGTTGAGTTTGAGACGCTCATGGGACCTCCAATAGGAAATTCCTAAAGGTATTTTGTGATATATGTCTGGAGTATAGGAGAGAAACCAGAACTAGACATGTAGATATGGATGTCATCTGCACAGAAATAATCATTAAGCCTATAGAACATTAAGAAGGAAACACTTAATAAAGTGCCTACTATGTATCAGGCACATTACAAACACTATCTCCTTTGTTTCTCACAACCTTTGGAGGTGGGTAGTATTATTATACTCATTTTACAGTTGAAGAAACTGAGGTAGATGGAGGTTAAGTGAATTACCCAGGGTCACCCAACTGGTAAGTGTCTGAAGTCAAATTTGAACTCAAGTCTTTCTTATTCCAGGCCCAGCTCTGTATCCACTATGCTACCTAGTTGCCTACATTATATTAAGATATAAAATAACAATATCTCTAGTCTGAAATTTCCTTGTAACATACTTATCAAAGACATAGCTAGTTTCTAAAGGGAAATTAAGTCCAAGTTCAGAGATGCACTACGAAATCCCTGAAGATAGATTATGGTGGTAATTAGGCAAGGTCATGGGACCTTTCAAATAATCCAGTTAAGAGAAGTACCTCTTCTTCCACCCATGAAAACGAGTCTCCTGCATGCACGAAGTTAGGTGACTATATTTCTGTTACTTGAGTCAAAAATCATCAGCTAAATTTTGCATCTGTGTTTAATCTTGATTGAGAAGATTTGTCTGTCTCTTGAACCCTATAAACTGTAAGCAGAAAATGACATGAATTAGCTTTTCAACCAGGAAAATTCTCTCCCTCCCTCCCTCCTCCCCCTCTCTTTCACTCTTTCTTTCAACAGAGATTCTAGGATTTATACAATTAATCAATTTGTTTCCAATAGACTTGTTACCAAGAGCACAGAGTACTAAGTTTTTCTTCATTAGTTAAATAGTGCCATGGTGCCTTGTAGGAGCTGGCATGACTTGGCTGCTTCCAAGGCAGACTAAACAGAAATGAGAGATTTTTTGAACCCTTATAGAATGTTTTTTGTTTTGTCTGATTTGTTTCTCCCCTCTTCCCCCACCCCACTGGCTCTGTATCACTTCCAGGATTATATATAAAATCCTCTTTGGCTTTTAAAGTACACCATAATCTTCTACTTTCCAGTATTTTTGTCCTTCATTCCTCTTTTTACAGGGGCAGCAGGTGGCACAGTGAAATCTTGTTGCCAAGCCTATAGTCAGGAAGACCTAAGTTCAAGTCTGCTCTTCGATACTAGCTGTGTGACCTTGGGCAAGTCACTTAATCCTGTTTGCCTCCATTTCCTAATCTGTAAAATGACCTGGAGAAGAAGGCAAACCACTATAGTATCTCTGCCAAGAAAACCCCAAATGGGATCAAGAAGAGTTGGACATGACTGAAAAGACTGAACAACAACACCCCCTTCCCGTATACTCTGTGATCCAGTGATACTGGCCCTCTCCATCTGCCAATATTTACTGTGAATTTGTTTTTTAAAAAAAAACCAACAAAAACAACAATTGTGCATTTAAAAAAATCAAAATTATTCTCCACTCTGAAAGATCTTAGATTTTAATGAATTATGATGCATACCAGTCGACTGGCTCTTGCCCATGTCTGGAATTCACTCCCTCCTCATCTCCACCTTCTGCTTCCCTGTATTCCTTCAAATCTCAGCTAAAATCTGCTCTTCTTCGAGAAACCTTCTCTGGTTCCCTTTCATGCTAGTGCCTTCTCTCTATTGATTATCTCCAACTGTTGATTTATCCTGTCTATATCTCGCTAGTACACAGCTGTCTCCATGTTGTCTTCCTTATTAGAGTGTAAGCTCCTTGAGGACAGGGACTGTTTTTTTGCCTTTCTTTATATTCCCAGGGCTTAGCACAGTGCATAGTAAGTGCTGAATAAATGTTTGATGACTTGATGACAAAAAATTATCATAAATTCAGCTTTTAATCATCCACGACAATCCCAAAGGCCTAATGATGAAGCAAGCTGTCCTCCTCCAGAGAAAGAATTGATATTGATTGAATACATACTGAAGCATGCTGTTTTTCACTTTCTTTCATTTTTTTCATTTATTCAAGTCTTCTCGTACGAAGTGACTAACATGGAAATGTTTCACATAATTACATATGTATAATATATCTAATTACTTAGCATCTCAGGGAGGGTGGAGAAGAGGGAGGGAAGGATAGAATTTGGAACTCAAAACTTGAAATAAAAATGTCTTAAAAAATAAAAAAATAAATTCAGCTTTTAAATGAATTTTTCTTGAATTGCAACAGCAGCTACATACCTTTGAAAAAGAATAATGCATGCACATATGTGTATTACTATATATGTGTGTTATACTTTCATATAGTATGCATATAATATGAGATGTTATTTATGAGTATATACACATATACATTATGAGTCTCCAAAATTCATGCTTGCTTATTATGCTGTCATACTACATATATTGTTGGAGCTAAATCAAAATAAAAATACCTTTGCTTCACTTGGACACTGTTGGTGGAACTGTGAATTAGTCCAACCATT